AGGATGAGTAAGCTGCAGATAAAGAAGACAGGACACAGGGGGTCTGTTGAAGCTCCATCCCCTGCCTTCAGCACTGACGGATCAAATCCAACTCTTAGGGAATGGTGGCCACCTGCTGGGCCAGTTCCAGTCTCTGAGGATCTGAGAGTGAGTGACACAGAGCCAGGCCTTGCCCTCGGAGAACTCTCCAGCATACACCTCCCTCTACCCTCCCAGCGCCCTGCAAAGCAGGCATCAATGTCGTCGTTAATGCACAGAGGAGGAACCTGACTGTTAGGTTCTTGGGTTTTCCAGGGTTGCACGACTTCTGAGAGACAGATGTGACCCTGAGGACAGGGCACAGGCCAGTGTAATGCCAGGTTGGAATAAGCTGTGATCTGTGCCATGTAGAGGTCTAGGCCAAGCTGGGAGTGACTGATGACCAGGTCAGCCAGGTCGCTGAAAACACTCTTGGGTCCTCCCCTGCTGGCTCCCAGGAGTCCGGAACTGCCAGGAGAGTGGTGGCAGGTCCCCCATCCTCAGCTGGGTGGGCCTGGATAGAATAACAAGGCGAGGGCACATTTCCCCGGCCATTCCCTCCAGGCGCGGCTATGACCTGCTCATTCCAATTTTGTGGAAATATTTCCACACACACAGAATTGCAAGTAGCAGTGGACGTGGTGAGAGGCGTTTGGACATGGGATAGGCAGTATTTTGGAGGCAGAGCCTCCAGGACTAGCCAATGGGTTAGCTGCAGGGCTTGAGCGGAGAAGAAGAATAGAGGATGATGTGTTCAAGTCGGTCCATTCACTTCCTCTGTGCCACGCCTGTGCTGGGCACTGGGACAGACAGATGACCACAGGATCCCTTGTGGGGGGAGGTGTGGGAGGAAGCCCAGAGTGTCTACTGGAAGCTGAGGACTTTTCTCCACCTGGGTGCCGTCCAGGTTCTCTGCATGGACAAGCATAGGCTGAGCTGCCTGGAGGAGGAGCAGCTGCTGTTGGTGGTGACCAGCACGTTCGGGAATGGAGACTGCTCTGGCAATGGAGAAGGGGATGGCCTGAGGTCTGGATGGTCTAGGGGGTGATAGGGCCCAGGAGGACCCAGGAAAGGGTCTGGGGGATGCAGGACGTCCTACGGAGGGTGTTTGGGAGTCAGTGCTCAGGTCACACCGGTCACTCAGGTCATTTGCCGGCCTCTGTCATAATTATTGCCATATGAGAGTGCCACCTTTCCTATGACATATTTTATATATTTCTGTGAATGGCCTACTTGTTTATATTTACAAATTCATGTTTAAATGAAACTTGTATCACTCTCACAAATGGAAAGCCAGCAAAACATAAATTCAATGAAAACAAAATGAAGTTAATGAATTTTTGCTAGTTTTAGCTAGTTAGCTAGTTTATGAAGTTAATGAATTTTAGCTAGACACTATTCCCTAACCAAGTCCTGCGCTATCTTCGTTTTTTAAAAAGAGAAATAGGCAATGAGAGAGGTATTACAGGTCTATTAGCACCAATTCGAGACTGTCTCTCCAGTGCTCACAAGAATGAAGATGTAATTGAATGGGAATAATGAAACAATAAATTATTTTAAAAAGGGTAAATACTCACGATGGGATTTGAGGTTAGTTCTGCTGGGTCACACACCTCCTGGAATTATCTGGGGTTCCAGGAAAGGCAGGCTTGGGAGAGGCATCCCCACGGGCAGGGGTGCTCGAGAGGGCCCCAGGAGCTTCCCTCTGGGGAGAGAGGGGCCCACCCCTTCCCAGCAGCCCTCTGAATCCCCCAAGCACTTGGACACTGCCTCTCCCTGGAGAAAGCATCCCCCTTGGAGATACATGGACATCAGAAGAAACCTTTCCCTGTCACCAGGACAAACGCTGTTCTTATTTGAACCAAGGCCAGTTTTCCTAACGAATGCGGGAAGGACCGCACAGATGAATGAAACCAGCAGATAAACCACAAGGCTCTTTCCCCGAGCTGGGAAATGTCCTTCCCTGCCAAAACTTTTTCTGAAAGTTCTTAAGAATGAGTCAAACAGTTTAAGTCTGTCTCGCACTCTCCTTTAAGTGAAAGAGTTCAATGAGGAAGGAGAGGAAGTGGAGCAGATGCTTAGTTTCCAAGCTGGGAAAGTGGCCCGTGGTTAACCAAGACTAGACGTAAAAGCCCAGGTGGCCACAGGTCCAGGTGAGCCGGTCCTACGATGGCATGGCTGCTGATGCCAGCAGATGCTCCTGGCCTCTACTTTCAAAGACTGACCTCTTCTGGTCTTTCATTCATTAAAATAAAATCGACAGAGCATCATCTGAGAAGCTCTACACTTTCCCTTACCTGGATTTCAGACTCTAGATTCTGCTGAGATTTGAGCTCCATGGTGAACACATTCTTGGCATGCATGCTGCTGAGGGGTGTGGAGGACAGAGAGATGGTGAAATGGCAAAGTGGCTCTTGAGCATTGGTGGGGGAAGCCCCCACTTGTCTGAGTCAGTGACACCTGGACACTAAACTTGGAGCATCCTGCTGAGGTGGCCATTGGGGTTTTCTTTCCTTTCCTTTTATTCCACTGTTTCTGAATCATGAATAAAGATCCAAGGCAAACAGCACATTCAGATCCCCAAGCTCTACACCTCCAGTGTGACCAGGGACCCGCACCACTACAGGCTCGTGCAGGACTCACAGCCTTTGGACGTCAGCTAAGGGACCTGCTTCTCTCAGCACACGGGCTTGTTTGTGTTGGGGTCTGAGCCCTGAGCCCATGGTCAAGGAGACCCCCAGGTCTTTCTGAACAGAGACAGCTGGCCTGGGGGACTCCCTCTCACTGCATGCAAGAGTCTGTTAGGGCGGCTGTGTTGCTTCTAGGTGTTGGGAAATTCCATTTAGGTACCTAAAAATGAAAAGCCCCAGGACATCTCCATGGCTTGGGATCCACAAGAGAGCAACGTTCATGTTGGGGATATCTTCAACATGTAGAAATCTGCAGGACTACCTTAGACAAGGCACAGGGCACAGCACCTGGGGGTGCAGAGTGGAAAGTTCATCACTACAGCCTGGAATTGCCTCTGCGATGCCTTCTTTACAACACTTGGCTGCCTTCATGGCTGGAAGGCTGGGGCCCACATCCCAACATGGCCATAGGCTAGCAGTTTGCTTCACCTTCCTGAACTGCAACTTCTCCATCTGTGCCTTTCTCCTAGGAGGAGTGTTCCCTAGGAGGAGTCGTGTGCCCTAACAGGCAGGTCAGCCTAAGAATCTGAGCTCAGGACCCAGATCACCTGGACTCAGATCCTGACTCCAACTTAGTAGCTGCATGACCGAGGACAAGTTGTCTAACCAACATCATGTTGCTGGGGGCAGTTTTCTCTGATGACAACACAGATGGGCAGAGATGAGCTGAGATTTACGTCTTCCCTCCCAGCATGTGCGTCCTGGCTCATGACACAGGTATTTGGAAGCTTAAGCCCCAACAGGAAGCTGACCTTTCTGGATTCTACAGACCTGTGTTTAGCATTAAGTATTTTCAAACAAGCTCTCTAAGCCAAGGGAAACAGCTTCTTCTGCCTAATAATTAAGACTACTAAAGAATGGTGGCCACTTTGAATGACAGAGAAATGGGACAGGAAGAAAGGAACTGGCATATACTGGACACTTCTATGTGCCAGATTTTATCCCCTCCCCCACATCTCCTATCTCCACCCCCTTTAAAGATCAAAAACATTATCAGAGGTTGTCTTCATTTCACACATGAAGAGACAGTAGCTTGCCCAGGTTTATACAACTTAATTCCCCAAGTCTTTCTGATTTTAAATCCCAAGCTCTCTCCTTCACATGACACTGTTTATGACTTTTCCTTACACACTCCCGTTTACCTGATTTTAGATCCAAATACTAATATTACAGGGCTCAGGTCTTGGCCTAGGAATAAAGAGTGGCATCCTCTTTTCTTCTTCCCCCAATCTTCACAGAACTATCTAGAATTCCTCATTCAATCACACTATCTCAAATGTTAACAAGTAGAGGTTTTCTAGAGTAAAAATCCTCCTGGCATGTTCAGATGTAGAGAAAACCCCATATTTGATTATAACAACATTTTACTTCCTCTTTCCAAATTGAAAAAAACTTAAGTCTTCTTGTATTACAGGTTCTCAGAAATGTGGATCCGTCTTTTGTATCTAAGTTTTTTTTTCTCCTTTTGTAAAAGCTGCTCCAAATACCAGCTGTGCTGCTCCGCAGGCTCTGTTACGAAGATGACTCTGTGGAATGCTTGACCACTAAGTTTGGTAAATACCTGCTCAGTCTTTTTCACTTTAGCCACAGTTGGGGAGGCAAGCCTCTATATGAGTGGCAGAGGC